AAACCACACAACTCCATTTAGGTTCCAGAATAAATAGATTATAGATAGCACATGTAATGTGAACTGTGTTACTAAAACCCACAAAAGTGTTTAGCAAACAAATGATAAATATTAAAAGAGACTACATTTGAAGCTTATTAAGAGGATAGAGGATTTCCAGATGTGGGAGGGAGATGAAACAGACAGGTGCTAATGGGTAGTTATTATTGTCATTACAATCAGGAATGGCTAATGGCTGATTTGGCACACTAAAACAAGACTTAAAGGTCCTGTGTGTAACATTTATGAGGATCTGTTTGCATATAATATGCATAGGTTTGTTTTTTGTGCATAATCACCTAAAAAAAAGAAGAATTGTTGTGTTTTTGTTATCTTAGAATGAGACGTTTTTATTTACAGATGCCGCAGGTCGCCTTACGTTGAAGCCGTAATGTTGAACCGCCATGTTTCTACAGTAGCACCGCAGTTTCTCCTTCGTACTTGGAAGGGGAAGGTGAAGTGAGGGAGTTACAATCTGCAACCACTAGATGCCACTAAATCCTACACATAGGCCCTTTAAAGTCTACAGCACGGCTATAGTGGCTCTGTCAGGCTACACATTCATACGCATGCCAACATTAGAGCTGAGGCTAATGTGTGTACATCCATTAGTACATTATAGTGTGGAACAGCTAATAGCTGATTGGGCATACTTTTATTGGTGCAACTTTGCAAAAAAAAAAGGGTAAAAAAATGGGGCTCAAGATGTAGCCCACAGCTAATTAACAGAGTCCAGGGCAACACTTTACTTTCTCTAAACAGCAAAAACAACAGCACGCAGTCGTCTTAATTATTTTCCGAGGCAGAGCCCAAAGTGTCAGACTTTGAAGACCCCTGTTTTAGCAGAGCTGTGTTTGTATACCACCCTCGCAGGCCTCTGTAACATCATGTCAGTGGCATGTGCTATGATGCGAAGCAGAAGTCACCTTTGACCTCGGAAAAAATGACCTCATGAAAGAGAGCCCCCAGCTCTTTGTGAGCATCTGTGCAAAGGACGCCAGGCCATTGCCTCAGTTAAGATCCCATGAGAGTTCATTTTTGCAGTCAAACATACCACACTTTAAAACAAAAGAAAACAGAAAGAAAAGAACAAAAACGAATGTGCAACGTTTTTCGTCTGCTGTTATGTTTTGTTTTGTGTTCATGTTAATAAAAAAAAAGCTGCTATCTGTCCGTAGGCTCACTGCAAACACCGCTAGGAGGACTGTACAAATAACACAAAACAGTGATCTCAGCCACTTCAAAGGCAGCAGGTTGGAGTGGAAACATGTGAATGTTAAATACTTTTAAAATGTGCAGGCCACTTGTGTGCAGCGGTGAGGAATCGGCAAAGGGAAGACTTTTTTTAAGCGCTGACAACAAGATTATTTGTGTTACAATGGCTGTAGTTCATTACAGAACAGCACCTGGTAGTAGTTGATATTTCATGGTACAAACTACAAACAGCAGTGACTAGTGAAAATGAAGTATTGTATTTCTTTATATATATAAATAGTATTGTTTTTACATACATAAGTATTGTCGACAAAGCTTAGTTAATGTTACCATTTTTAGAGTTTAACTTGACATGAGGTCACAACCTTTAACCTTTACTACAGCTTGCCTCTGTGGGACACTTTACTTTCAGGCTGAAGTATGGGTCATGCAACCATGGAACAAACAGAAAAGATCACAGTCTCAAAGTCTAAAATCTCACCGGCCTTCTTCATTGAAGCAACATGTGACTATTAAACTTGCTGCAGTAAAAATGCTTAGAGCCTATTCAAGAAAATACAGTATGACCTTGTGTCCTCACTTCAAAGTGTTCTCCCAGCTGGTTCACAACAGAGCCTTGACATATTTTATGTATCCTATGAACCTGTAAAACTGTTTTGGTTATCCGCAAGCATCAAGTTACTCAGTATTAATGATCTGAAAGGGTTTTAAAGAGCACCAAGGCTGTACTGTAAAGGCTGATGTAGTGTCCACACGCAGGATACAAAGTCAAGTTTGTCTTATTGATCGTCTCAGAGATGTCCACTTCTGTGCTCTATAGGACTTGTAGAACTGTAAATACAAAGTTTTATCCAAAACAAACTTTACTATTTATTACATAATTCACCTATGCACACACATGCAAGCACAAAGACACCGATGGGGGTGGAGCTAGCATGCAAGGGACTGGCCAAACATCTGAAATCTGAAGTATTTGGAGGATGGAGGATAATTATTTATTTATATATATTTAAATTATAATCCATTACACCTCTCTTTGTAATTTGTATTGCTGTAACATGTTACTAAGTAATGTATTACTGCCCAACACTGTTTAACAGTACATACATACACAGACATGCATACTAGAATAAATTAAGAAATAAAGACATAGCCTGAAATTAATTAATATAATTCATGATTAGCATAAATTATGCATTGACTCATTAAATATACTGATTGTTGCAGTTTGTTTGTTTACCCTTGTATGTATTAATACTGATTTTTAAATCCTCTATATTCTCTGCATTTATGTCCAAATTGACCCATTTAGAGAGGTTAACCAAGGTGATTGTGCTTTACAGACCTGGACTATGTTGTCAGATAGAGTTGTCCATAATATATGTTCCGCCTGTACGGGGATCGAACCCACAACTTTGGCATTATTAGCACCACACTCTAACCAACTGAGCTAACCAGCCACATTTAGGGTGTAAACTGTACATGCAAAGCTTCCTGCTAACCGAGACCCCTCACAGCATAAGGACAATCACATCTACATGTCTAAAACTGTATCCACACATGCTCCATTAAACCAGCTGGAACACAGGTTATAACATATACTGAACTCTTGACTTTTAACACCACAAACGCCTTGAGGTTATCCGTATCAGTACAGTTCAGATCTATTTGTGGCTGCATGTGCGTCTGTATACACATTTAGTCGTGTTGTGGCAGACTTGAGATCCGCAGGAGCACAGCAGGTGGATCAGGGTCAGTTTACCTTCTCACACTTGTGCTGACTGTCTCTGGCAAGCTGTGCTGTCATGAGGCCAATGCTGGTTCAACACATGCCTGGACATGGGTCGGAGTCCACACGTGTTTACGCAGCAAATGCAAAAAACACATGTAACATTTCTATATATAAACATACATATATGTGAGAGCACCAGCAAAACATGCTTTCAAAACACATGCACACAAAGGGAAATGTAGCCTCCAATGTTACTAAAATAGACTTAACAAGAGCCAACCAAAGCAAATATAAACACAATGACAATTTCCATGTTTGCAGTCGTCTCTAATGTAACACTTTGAAAACAAAGCAAACCATGTCATGAATTAAATGAGTTCCTCGCCTCCGCAGACATGTAAAGGATGGATCCTATGAACGTGGTTTCACACTAAATCACATCAAATGTCTGCCACTTCCTTTTAATGTCAGGCTACACAGCGCACATCAAATGACTTCAAAGTAAACCCGTAGTGTATGTTTCAAACTCTTCATAATAGGATGCAGACGGGACTAAAAGAAATTAAATAAAAACCCCACCAGGCTTTTATTTTGGAGCGTCAGTTATGCCTTTACAAAATAAAACATCCATCACTTCTCCATGATGTTGTCAAAGTAATTACAGATGCAGAGAGCGTTCATTTTAATAGTAATAAGGTTCACAGGCCCAGTTCTTTCAAATTCAAAGACCAAACACAGCACAGTTTGAGAGACGGATCAAGGTTACACCACTGAGAAATACAGTATATAAATAATAATAATAATTCATATAAAATATCAAAAGAACTTACATTTCTGTTCTTGTACCAAATATGTAAATTCAAGCACTTCCAATTACCCATTTCTATTCATGTTTAGCTTCAAAAACTTTCAAGGGCTTAATTCTTTTACCGATCAAATATACAAACTTTCAAAGATTTCAAGGACCCCTGGGAACCATGAATATTTAAAGGGCCAGTGCGTAGGATTCAGTGGCATCTGGTGGTGAAGTTACAGACTGCAACAGTTTGAGGACTTAAAGGTTGGCATTACTTCAACTCCTTTAATTACCTAAATCAATTGATACTATTTGAGTTATACACAACAGCTTTGACTCTGATTATTTGCTGTAATATCAAGTTTTTTGGTGGTCTAATGCGGCTGTAATTAATACGCTTCCACACACATCATGTTCTTTGTGGTTGGTGTGTTTGATGTGTGTGTGTGTGTGTGTGTGTTGTGTGTGGTGATGTGTGTGTGTGTGTCTGTTAAAAGCCAGGCACCAGAAAAGGGCAAAACTTATTTTTATGTGAGACAAATTATGACACCGAGAAGCCCCGAAATACCACACATAATTAAATATTCATTATCCTTGATTGAGCCCAGCCTGCTCTGTGGAGAACAACCTGAAACTCTTGAATAAAAGAAACCAACACTGAAATTAGAAACAGCAAAATATTTATTCACCAGTCAAAACATAAACTGCAAAATATGAGGTCTGAAATCCACACGTTGATGCATGCATGCCAAGACTTCTGTTACCTGACAAAATTTTTTTTCCAGACAACCTTTGAGTGGACCTACTGTGCATGCTAGTTTGTGTATTTCTACTGTGAGGGAAGGGGTTTGTTAGGTTAGCGATAAAAACATACTGACAGTGATGGGAAACATATTTCCTGTAATACCTCCTTCAAAACTAGACCCAAATGTATACATCAGCTGGGTTGCAGAGAGCAAGAGAACAAAAAAAAAAAAGAATATAATACAACATTGTGTCTGAAAGGTGTTCACTGTATGAATTAACAGGGGAAGTTATATTCGTCGTTGAACATAAATAGGCAGGTCTTGGAGAAGAGCTTGCAGCATTTCATGCAAGATGATTGGTGTGTTTTTGGTACGTCTCTATCTGGGAGTGGGTCTTTGCAGGAAGGGGGAAGAGTCTGTCCAAAACTTGTGATCTCTCCCTCTGTACCAGGCGAGCGAAAAAGGGTGGCAGCGGGTTGTGGTGGGTTATCAGTTCTCGAGGAAAGCCACGTAGTCAGTGAGTCTGGCCAACTGCTGCTCATTTGGAACCAATGAGACGGGGGGAGGATCTGTTGAGAGAGAGAGGGAGAGAGAGGAGAAGTTGAGTCAGAGGGGGATTCCACATTGTGCCAAGTGCTATCGATCTTCTTGCATCTCCACAGCTTTAGCTCGGCGGCTACAGCCCACGTGTTCCAAGTCAGAGACTCAGCAGGCCGCTGGTTTCAAGTTAACCACGCTGTTGACATCTGACCTCACTGCTTTTTGCAGCGGTCTAACAACACTACCTGCAGTCTCCCCATGTGGCTGTGACACATCCAGCCTGGAAATCATTACAAACACTTTACATCTTATCCCAAACCAGAGTGATTTCCTGTGTGAGATCCACTCTACAACCAGAATTACCAAGCACTATTAAGTCCCAGTGGCGCTGTGGAAGGGTAAAGAGGAGACGTGAGGATTAATGGTGAGTGGGTTAAGCCTGTTGCATGTGTGCAGCAGATGCTTCAGCAGTAATGTCCAATGATTACAGAGAGCAAGGACCGCAAACCTCCTCCTTTGACTATATGAATAAATCACCGGATTTCTCTTACAAGCTGGATCAATCCGCGACTCTCTGGGCTTGAGGACGTGTGATAAGAAAAAAAAAAAAAAGGCAAAATAAGGGAGCGCATAAGAAGAAGGAAAAAGGGAATGGAGGGGGAAAGTTTGGGAGATATGGACACTCGACAAGGGAGATTTAGCAAATCAAAAAACTCAACAAATTCTAGGAAAACGAAAATGTCATCCATCTTTCACTGAGATTAAAATGAATCCTAAATCCCTGCTCTCAACATATTTTATGCGTGCCTAATAAAACCTAGGAGGAAGAGTAGCAGGGCGGGTGCAGGATTACCAGTGAAGAGAAAACCGTTTGGCGGGCTGATATTGGGTACCAATTAAAAGAGCAATACTGCCACCTACCTGGCTTTTTGGGCATCACCATCCTGGTAGCGGGGTCTGCCTGCCAGCCCTGGCTCACCACACCTTCGGACGAAAAACCGGTGGGAAAGGAGAGGAAAATACAGTCATCAGCGGATGTGTGAATGGTTATGTAACGCAAAATATATTTATTACACCCCTGAAACAATGCAGCTGTTTTTATGACTAAAAACATATTGATGTCTTCATACACAGTAACAGCAGTGATAAAACGTTCCCTGGAGGAGGTTGTGTAAATTTACCTTTTACTGCCTCTTCCACAGAGTATCCGACAAAAGCAGCGAAATCTTCTGCTTGGATGGAAGTGTATGCCTGGGCCACCAGACTGTACGCCCTTTGCCGCGTGCTCTCTGTGAAGAATGTTTGAACCACATTAATATCAGACATATGGCGAGCATACATCCTAATACCCTGCTCTGGCTCTATTTAAAGTACATACAGTACATAGGCAACAGCAACTGACTGTGACCTTACAGCATGTTATGTAGCCTAATTTTAAACATGGTAATGACAAGCTATGTTTCTTGTAAACAAAACTGCTAATGAGCAACAGCACTGGAGGCTGTACACTGTGAGTAACGATTAATCAAGAGTGACAGGCGGGGTTTTCTAAGCCAGGGGCTGTTTAAAAAAAAAAGTACTCTGCATGTCAACCTGTAGAGAAGTGAGATCTGCTCCTGTCCGCTTTCCCATCCGCTGTTTTACACCGATACTGTCAGGAATATTATTTCTTTTATTCATATTTTAGTTCACAGTGAGATATTTAGTTTTTAATATTTAATTCATATCCAGTTCTGAACTTAAAGACAACCAGGCTGATATAGGAACTGTATCGATAATATGCACTCTTCAACATTTATTAATTGCAAGTAATTGCAACATTGAACAGTGTTATCTCACGTCGCAGATTTTCCTCATATGGTGCAGGCCTACTCTGCTGTGATCATTAGCAATCACAGGTGAGTGTGTTATAAAATAGAAAATATAAAGTAAATGCTTGAGGTCTGCATTTAACATTTCATGTTTTTGTTTCGGTTTTTGCAAATGTCCTGAGGTTTGAAATATGGTACTTCTGTGTGTTTGAGTATGACGCTGCTTCCAAGCACGTGGTCGCAAACAACTTACAGGGGTTTGAGTTAGGATTTCAATAAAAGAAGCTATTCTGAACTGAAAATGCCTGTTTTATATTCCTCTTTTAAAGGTTTGGATATGGTAATTGTGTGTGTTTGAGTATGACGCTGCTTCCTCTCACCACTCCGTCTCCTCCTCTGGTCAAACAAGCACGCGGTCACAAACAGCTTACAGGAGTTGGTTTGGGATTTGAGTCAAATGAAGCTATTCTGCACAAAAAGTCTGGCTTGTCTGCCTTTAATTGCAGTTAGCATCTGGATTTGTTTGAAATCAAATGTTGCATTTTGTTGCCAGAGAACCTTTGATTTGATTGTGATGAACTTCTAAGCAAAATAAGAAAGAACTTTCCATAATCAAAGATGGTTAACAATAGATCTTGTTAAATGAAGCACGCATATGATGAATCATGGATGTCGTGCTGTCTAGAGCTTACACTACAATCCACTGACGTCTTTATCAGCAGGCACTGGCTCAGGCTTCCAAAACGTCAAAGCTGCTTTGTTTATCTAGCCTCCCCTCACACGGTGCTGTAGTTTGTGCAGATAACTGTGACAGGGCCTCACAACGCCACGGAACAACATGTATTTGCCGCTGCTCCTGAAGCTATCACGTAAATGCCTCAGGGTTGTGGCCTTTGGTGTTTTATAGCCTAGCAACGGTTCATGTGTACCAACAGTCAGCCCCCGGTCTGTTGCGGCGGCTAACAGCGGTAACAATAACAAGTGGGATGAGAGAAGACAGCTGTGAGGGGAAGGCCGGAGATTTGTCGAGAATGCTTTCCCAGTCTGCCGTCCGACGGGCTTCCTGTTCTCCCTGTTATTGTACTTGTCTAAAAAGCTGCTGAGAGAACTGCGTCAAAGCAGCGTTTATGTGTCAGTTGTGTTTGAAGGCACTTCATTTTTATTTTGTAATGGTTTTAATCAAAGTTATGGTTGTAAAATAATATAGTTCTCTTTTAGACACTGTGATGATTAAAGTAGATTATTTTAATGACGTGGTTAGAGGAAAAATGAGGATGAAATATTATTCTTTTGTCATTGTGGTGTCTCACCATTGATCCATGACTAGAGAGGAAACGGAGTGAGCTGTTTTCCCCCTCTCCAGTCAGTATAAAACTCCCATCTGTTAAATGTGAACCATTTATCACACTTCATAAAATGGCTTCTTGTGTTGGAACAACTTTCTTGCACCTGACCGGCTGCATGTTAGAGAAGAAATAAGGTCTGTGAGCAAATGTTCCCAACACAGTCAAGCAGGTCACCTCGAGGGGGTTTTTGTAACCCAGTCCCCAGGCAGACATGTATTTTTACCACTGGCCTCTTGACCGTTAGGAGATGACTCGCGTGGCAACTGGACCAGCCGTTCTTAGTCTGCCCTGTTGACACTCTGCAGTTAGAGCTGCTGAGCAAGACGTCCATGAGTGGGAGGATGGGAGTTTTATGGAGGAGAAACAGGACCTGGCCTGTCCTTCTCTGACAGTCTATTCCAGGGCCGCTATCATTTCTCACCCTCTCACCTCTTAAAAATAGCCCCCCACTTTTCACCAGCAAAGGCAAAGCAGACAGGACATGGCAAGGGCTTTTATTTTTACATACAGCCGATTGCCAAGTAAGAGCAGCAACAGACTGCTTGAATATTTTGATGGAAGCGCTCCAGAGAAAATCCATAAGGCCAAAATAATACTGGGTCTTCCCTTTTCTTCCTCTGTACGCTCGCTTAGGTTAAACTTGTTTTAGTTTAGCAATAAAGCAAATCGATGCTCAACTTCATGCAGCTTTATTCCACGTTCCATTAAAGACAGATGTGGTGATTACAGGCAGATCAGCTGGTCACCAATTCAACACAAACTTAGACAAAGTGAGAAAAACATTTCCATGAGCTACACATGAGGAAAATGATGTGTAATCAACCTTCAGACATTCTGTATTTACATTTATCGAGACCCATGGTTCCATTCAAATGGCTTAGAAGTACAAAAGTATAAAAAGAGGTTAAGAAAAGGTACGAATACGACACTGAAATTAAATATTGCACTGAGAGTAGGGGCAAGCCATTTCAGCCCACATCCACTGTAACCTTATATTTCTATCAAATGCAGAGTCCCTGCCATAAACACTTGTGTCAAAAAACCTTCAAAAGCACACATTACAGTATTTCCTACAAGTCCGTAACCACTTCAATTTTCATTATTCCTCCTCCTCCTCCTTTTCCTCCGTCGTGCATCCTCAAATTCGTCGTCATCAATCACTCCGAAGTCCATTTTTGCCAGGACTGCTTCAACATGCTCCGTTGACAAAGTGAAGTGGTCCATCTTCTCGAAGCCCGGCTCTGGCCTCTCTTCCCCCAGTGAGCATTTAGCTGCGTCTTTGGTCTGCGTGATGAGGCCCTTGGAGGCTAACAGAAACTCAGCAGCGCCCCCCTGCTCCAGCGCCCTCACAGCGGTGTCTGTGAGCTCCGAACTAGCCTGCAGTCGTTCGCCGTAGCGTTGGGCCAGTGCTCGCAGAGCTGCCACCTTCTCATCCTGCTCTTTACCAATCTGCTCCAGGAGAAGGGTCTTGCGCTCTTCCAGGACAGCATACAACAGGTCAAAGCGTTCAGCCAGCCCTTGCTTAGCGTGCTGAGCATTCTCCTGCACAGCGCGGCAGGCGTCTTCCATCTGGTTGAGCAGGGCCTGCAGGCGCCCGTTGCTGGCCACCAGGGTATCGATGGCATTACTCAGTTCACCCTTCTGTGCCTGGTAAACACTCGCTAAAGGTGCCACCTCACAGTCCTTATGCTGGCCGAACACTTTGCACATGGAGCAGGTGGGTACCTGGCAGGTCACGCAATAGATGTTGATCTTCTCGTCCTCGTGTTCTTGGCACATCGGTTCTTTGGATTCTTTAGGCTTCAGGGTGGTGTCTGTGCTTCCACTGCCACTACCTTCTTGCTGCTGCTTATAGAGGTCGATAATATTTTCTACCAACAGGTTGCGCTGGAGCCCATGGACGCCATGGCGGTCAAGGACAACCTCGAACCGGCAGGTAGGACAGCGAAAGACGCCGCCAGAAAAGCGGTATGGGTTGCGCGAGTCGTAGAGGTCACTGGCACAACTACGGCACAAGTTGTGCTGGCAGGGCAGGATGACCACAGGTTTGGTGAACATGTCCAGGCAGATGGGACAGCTCAGCTGCTTCTCAAGGCTATCCATGGGGCTCGGAGGCCGCACCATAGATCCTGTCCTCTGGACGTCCATAATGGTAAAGTGTCTTCCTACAGTTACACCAGTAAACCTCCTAATTGTCACCAGAGAAAACTAAAAGCTTCACTCTCTCTAAAATATAGGGTCGACTCTGCAAACGTATCCTTCGTGTGTGCTGTTACTGTGAAATGCTGATATCTATTCTGGCTGAGAGCTAGCAGCTCTGTCCTTTATACCAGCCCCTCACAGCTGGCGACATCCGATCCCCACCAACCAGAGCACACATTCCTGCCTGCTTGCTGCCCTGGGATCTTTTCACAGAAATGGCCCCCTCCTACCAAGTGCTGCATGTGTCACATGTCACAGCGGGCAATGTGTACCCTCTTACAGTGACAGAAGTGGTGGACTGAGCTGAGACCAGCAGGGCCCATGTGACCGGTTCAGAGATGCCCTAGCTGAGAGGGAGCTCAGTCTAATTGGTAAACAAGTCGTTGTCAACATCCTGTGACTCCTGTGCTGTTTGGACGATTTCATCGCTGATATCTGTTCTTTACCTAGTTTACTATTTATACAACCTGCTTTGTTTACAACAGAAATCACACTAACTGTACTGCTGAAAACTGCTTTCATATACTTTTGGCATTAATGTGCAAACCTTAAATGCAATGCATCTAATATTAATAACGCACCATTTCCTTTGTCTGAATTATTGCATCTTTATTAAACTATTGACTTACTAAAGTCCTAAGTCCTTCTCTTTAAGAAAACAAATCCCAACCATTTGGCCTGTAAATGCCTTTCAACATTATGAGTTTTCGCTTGGTATTCCCTTTGTTTCTTTATAATCGTATGTTGGTGTTTTCAACTGTGACGCGACAAACTCGAGAATTCTAAAGAATCTGTTGGGTTAATCTTTTTGTGATGGTGGTTTTTGCACAATCAACGCAACGAAGACTGGTCTTAACTTAAACCAAGAGAAAGTGTAAAAACAATAAATACCCAGGTGTTATATGGACACATTTCTTTATTGGGAAGATCTTCGTGTTTTTTAAAACTGCTTATTGGAAACTGTTTGCATTTAGACCTGACATTGTGAAATGACCACATTCAGCACATCCACCAATAAATTACCATCAATGGTGTCTCTTACGACATAACTGTACATCAGCGTCCCTGGCCGATCAACACAAAGTACGGTAAACATGAGGGAGAAGCTATTCTTAAACGCTTACACAAGGGAACCATCACATGACGCAGACGCAGAGATAATGTCACATGAGCATGTTTCTCAAACGTATGCGTCTGATGTAAGAAGGTGATGTGTGAAATCAAAACACAACTGAATGCAGACATTCAGCTACATTAGGAGAGGGTATCAGCAGTATACGAGTGTGCTAACTGATTTTGAGTATTGTATTGTAACCATCTGAATTATAACTGTATGTCACACTGCTGGAAAGAAAAGGTGTTGTAAACAGTCAGTAATTTAATTTTCCAACATGTTATGTCCCCTGGGCTGCTGGGTTGCATCATAACTAAAACTGTGTTCAGCTGGTGCCCCCTGCTGATTGTAATTCTAAATCACGCGGAGAAAATGTAAATATTTAAGTCACTTCAATGCCCCCAGAGTCAAATGTGTGAAACATAGAAATATTATTTGGAAGTGTTTTCATAATCTAAAAAGCTAATTAATCAAGGGTGAAATGTCAGATTAGACCTGACTTTGGCCGTTACCTCGAAGCGCCTCCATGACCGGAAGGATATTCTCTGACCACTGGTGAGCTGCGATGGCTGTGTAGATCCCTGGAAAGTCCCGCTGCCAAATGCGTTGGCCGACCGCCCAAATAGCTGTTAATTCAGGGTTTGCCTGTGTACAAGAAGCGGTAAAGCATTTCAGAAACCTTAAGCATGGTTCACATGACATGGCAGTGATTTTCATGGTACTATAAAGAGCAGTCACACCCAAATACTCCGGATGAACCACAGTGGCTCCATCTTTTAACTGTCCTGTCCATTTTCTTATATAAAATGAGAACTTCAGGCCTCAGCTTAACATCCAACAAGGAGTTACGATGTTACTATTCATCATGGTTCAATTTCCCACTGTACACTTTACGGCCATAAGCCAAACAAACACACCCCTGTTGTCCTGTGAGACAGAAGACAGTGATGGTATCTTTCCCATCAGCTCAGACACCTCAAGACACCAACTGCGTGTTACTAACAAGTCATTATGTATCTACGGTTGAGATACCTTTCTATAATTGGCAGATGTGTTTATGAAGGGGTATTAAAGTATTAAATAAAGTGTGTTCAGCTTGATTAATAGACTTTAGTTGATGTCAGACGTCCACCTTTATTCGCTCTTCACACTCCTCTTTATTATTTACTGTCATGTCAGGTATATCAGAGGTTTTTTTACCATTACATGTTGATGTGTATGTTGGATTTAGGTAAATAAATATGGCAACTATCATATGAAGCAGCACCACAGTCGCATTCATCACACTGAGATGGGTTTCAGTAGAACTTCCCCGTGTGTGTTTAAACAATCTTACCGATTTTATTGCTTGGGGAGCCCGTTTCCAGAGGTACCTGGCATTATTCCTGTTGGATCCACATCAACAAGTCAGACAATCCACAGAATAAAGTTGCAGCAACAGAGAACAGGGTTAGCAGGGACTCATCTGAACAGACTTTAGGTGCAGACACGTATTCATTACCAAACGCGTTGTTAATAAAGTCATCCATCAGTTACTGTGGGTGAGCAGTGTCATTTCACTTGGAGGCAGATGGATTATGGCTGTGATTGGCATTTGAATGACGATGTTTAACATTTAACAGAGATGCAGAGGACTGTATATTACACCTGCAACACCGAAGGGAACTTATATCGCTACAACTAACGACAACCAAGGTTTCACTTTCTGTCTGCAAAACAAAAATATGAAGGCTGCTTGTCCCCAACCTAAAACCAAAACCCTGCAGAGAAAGAGAGGACTCTTGTCGTCTCCTGAACACTTACATGTCACTGCTTTCATCTACTTTTGGCATTAATGTGCAAACTTAAATCAATCATTAATATTAATACACACTTTTTTTGTTGATTAATTGAATCTTTATTAAACTATTGATTAGTAAAGTTTAAGTCTTTCTTTAAGAAAAACAATCCAACCATTTGCTGATAAATGCCTTTCACATATGACGTTTTGCTTGTATTCCTTTGTTTCTTTATAAACGTATGTTGGTGTTTTCAACTGTGACGGACAAATCGAGAAATTCTCAGACATCATTTGGGGTTTAATCTTTTGTGATGGTGTTTTTGCACAATCAACGGCACGAAGATGGTCTTAACTTAACCAAGAGAAAGTGTAAAAACAATAAATACCAGTGTATATGGACAATTTCTTCATTATTTCTTTCTTTCTTTCTTTAAGGGAACTTATCACGCTGCTACTAACGACAACCAGGCTTTCACTTTCTGTCTGCAAAGTATGTTATCCGTAAAACAAGAATATGAAGGCTGCTTGTCCCCAACCTAAAACCAAAACCCTGCAGAGAAAGAGAGGAAGCTCCTGTCGTCTCCTGAACACTTACATGTCATTATGAAGTAAATAAAGCGACAGCAACTGAGCGTAGACCTGAGGTGTTGCAATGCCCCCTGGAGCCTGTGAAAGATAAATGCAGGTTCAATATTAAAGCTTGAAGCTGAAACAATAAGCAGAAAACCAAACTCTCTTCCCTCAACAATCCATGTTGCACATTTGAAGGATTATTCATTAACAGACAGATTGTAGCTCCAACAGCAAATCCAGTCACCTGCTGTGTTATTATGAGCTGCTGCTAACGTTATCACTACATTAATAAAGGTAAACAGTCAGTAAACTATCTGCTAACAGCATGGATGTGTGCACTGATGCTACGTCTACAACTCCCACTTTAATTAAGCCCCACTTTGTTGGCATTAGCAGCACAACACTGGCTCTTTTACGACTAAACCTAACGTTGGAGATAGCCTCTAACGTTAGCCTCCCCAGCTAACAGTCATGAAGCTAAACGGTACGCGGCCCTTCGGAGGCACAAAGCCTGTCAGGTAGTTCACACTCATCAACAACGACCCCACTGTCTCCTCCAACGCTTACCTCCAGCTCCTGGGCTTCACACTGCTCTAATAATTTATCAAAATTGTCCTCCATAATCACAGCAGTAGGCATGATGGGGCCAGCTGTTGCACCTCAGTCCTCTTCTGCTGTGAATGAGTGCAGATCAGCAGCTGGTCGGAGGAGCTGCTGCCCCCCACTGGAGGAGTCTGTGCTACACATGTGTGATAAAACACTGTGTAAAGTGGGAATAACATGAACTTCTCTGACTGGTTGGAGCCGTTATGTGTTGAGATGGTATTCCCAGCCTTTAGGGTTTATGGAAACATAAATAATGTACACACACACTCGAACTGTATATCAGCTTTTTGTTCATTTCTGTGAAGAAAACTAAATTAAATTCTGAGTAACACAAACTATATTCACACTCAGGCAAGAGTCTCACCTTGTAAAGTAAACGACACAGAGAATTTATTTATTTATATTTTTATTTTATTTATTATATTATTAATATTAACATTATACTGTTATTAACAATTACACTACCATCATGTCATCAGTACTATCACCACCATCTTCCAACTACAACTCTTTGCA